GTGTGTGTGTGTGTGTGTGCAATGTGTGTACATAGGAGTGGACGTGGGTGCATGTTTGTGTGTTGGTGCTTGTTTGTGTGCGCATGGTAGAGTTTGTGGGTTGTAACCGTTCACAACAACACGATCTTCAGGTTTAGAGTCCATCAGCCCGCAGTTCCCACCCTCAACCCACCCCCATCTTTCGCATAAGACGTAAATCGTTCATTCAAGCATCCAACTCAATCTTTACCAATCCTCAAAGCGGGATTAACATGGATTACAGAAACGAGCCACAGCAGCATCACAGGACTGCAAAATGTCAGAGTCACAGAGTGTAGTTGTATCGTTGATAGAAGATAGCCGGAGGATGCATCCTTTTCTATGCATGTCAGCCATTTGTCCATGCGGCGCAGCATGTCTGATTCTTTTTTCTTTGTTTCCAAAGGGGGTTCGCTGTGAACCCTGTTGTGGCAGTCTGATTCCAGCAGGATTCGGGTTCATGACCTGTTACATTTGTATACCGTTCAGCCACATGGGTTGTTGGGTGGCTTGCTGTGGAATTAGAATCAATGGATCAAAGGAATATTCCCCATAGCAGAACCATACATAGCAGGAAGCCATGTCGTTGTATTGATCTGATTCTACTATTCTAGCAGGAATTGAGCTCGTGAGCGGTTGGTTACGTGTGTACGCCGTTCAGCAACATGGGTTGTTGGGTGCCTTGAATGGATCAGAGAAATACACCCCATATCAGAATCATAGAAGGGAGCCACGGTGTCCAGAGCCACCAAATAGTTGTTGTGTACATGACCTCTGAGCTAAACAATTCTACGGAGGAAAATGAAGATGTATGAATGATGTACATTTCACGGAGGAAAATGAAGATGTATGAATGATGTACATTTCTTTATTATTATGCTTCTAAAATATACAGGGTTGGACGAGGTCTACAACACTCATTTTTATTTGTTTAGGGTTTCAAGACATATTTTATTTGTGGCCATGATTAACAATAGATGTCCAGCCTTACCTGGGACACAGAGAAGGATGCACACTCCACAATAATTGCCCGAATGTCTTCCTTCGCACTAACGAGGGCAGGGTCTTCCCTGACAGCACTCCCCTTCTGCTTCATGCCTTCTTCGATTTCCGTACCTTCAACCGATGATATCTGATCACACAAAGGAACCACGTGGAGGAGGATGACTTTGATGAAAGAAGAAACAACGACAAAAGAAACATGATGGAAACCAACCAGGCAGTGTGACCGATCCTAACAGCCATGGAAAGCAGGATTCATGCTCATACTAAAGGACTCGTCGAAAGCTTGCAAGGCTGATTGATATGTTGAAACTTGAAAGGCTGGCAGCCTTGAACCCCATAGGACTTGCCATCAGTTGCAATTGCAGTCCTAGTTTAACATATGAAAGCCTTCCTCCTTTTTTTTTCTATAATCTATCTATATTAGATTCTATAATCTATATAATCCTTTTAAAGCAAACCCGGGTCTCGCGTGACAGGCCCACACAAAACCTGGGTCGCTGTAGACCTGGCCCTCCGCAGGAGTTCCTGTTTCGGGTGCAAGGGAACCGATGGGGAGTGCACTCTCTCTCTCTTTTTTTTTTCCTTCAATCAGCTCCACAGGTCTTCAGTTTGTGTTTCGTTTCCTCCCAAAAGGGCGCACACTCTCCTTTTGGGCGCGAGTTGTTTCTAGTGTTGCGCCACGGTGTTAGTGCGTTTGGATGTAGGCATGCACTCTCCTTTTGGGTGTGCGTGCTTTGACCCACCGTGGCGCAGTGTTAGCCCGCGTTTGGGCGTAGGTGCACACTCTAGTTTTGGGCGCGAGTTGTTTCTAGCATTGCGCTGTGATTAGTGCGTTTGGATGTAGGCATGCGCTCTCCTTTCGGTTGTGCATGCTTTGGCCCACCGTGGCGCAGTGTTAGCCCGCGTTTGGGCGTAGGCACACACTATTTTGGGCGCGCATGCTTTGGCCTACCGTGGCGCAATGTTAGCGCGTAGGTGCATGCTGTTGAATGTTGGAATACATAGTAGCCCGCACAGAATGGATAGTGTTGGGATATCGGCCCCCCCTCTCCTACTCGACATTTGACACAAATCTGGACTGTCTCATGCAAATGATACATTCCCATTTTTCTTTTTTCGTGCGCACCTATGCTAATCTTCTTTGTACAAAGAACAAGAGGATGTATGACAAACATGAGGACGACGATGACGACAACCAAGGGGATGAGGAGCGGGAGGAGTAAGAGAGGGACCGCCGGGACCTCCACAAAATGGAAGTTTCATTTTGGGTTTACGAGGCTCATATTCAAACCTCAGGATATGAGGACTGGGAGGACGGTGACTGGGAGGGCAACGACCAGGAGGGGGAGGACAACGGGCGGGAGGAGGAGGAGGAGCTTGGGGGGACTTGGGAGGAAACGGAGTGGGAGGCACCCCACTCAACTCGTCAACATTCGACAAGTGTCTGGACAGTTTCATGCGTGGGATAGGAGGAGGATGACAATGACAAATGGGAGAGGAGCAGGGGGAGGGAGAGAAGGACAAGCGGGACAAGGAGCTTAGGGGAACTCAGGAGGAGGACGAGGGGCAGGGGCTACTCAACATTCGACATGTATCTGGAGGGTTTAATGCACAAGATACATTCCGACTGATCAAACGTTGTTCTTTTCTGTGTGCAGGGGCCATGCTAATCTTCCGTTTACAATGAGTGGGCGGAGTGATGACTAACAGGAGGCGGAAGAGTGAGAGGAGGAGGAAGAGGACAAATGGGAGGATGAGGAGGGGTCACAGAACAGGAAGACGCAGGAGGACGACCGAGGGAGCGGACAATGAACGGGAGGAGAAAGGATGACCAACAAGAGTAAGAGTGAGACAAGGAGGGGGAGCATCCTCCCCCTCCTCCTCCCGCTTCTCCACCCATGCGACGATGCGTGGAAAGATGATGAGCAGGAGGAGGAGAAGGGGCGGGAAGAGGAGGAAGAGGAGAGGAGGGGAACCAGGATGTGGTGGCGGAAGAGAAGCGAGAGGAGGGGAAGGATGTGACGAAGTGGACAAGGGAGAGAAGATGGGCGGGGAGGAGTAGGCGGGCGTGGAGCACGGGGTGGCAGGAGGACGACGGATGGAGAAGGTGGCATGCGGAGGAGGAGAGAGAGGGCGTGCCATTTGTGCTTCAAGCTTTTTTTTGGTGTGTGTGTGTGTGTGTGTGTGTGTGTGTGTGTGTGTGTGTGTGTGTGTGTGTGTGTGTGTGTGTGTGTGTGTGTGTTTTAAAAATTGCACCACAACAGCCCCTATTCCATCCACACGAGTAGATACGAGTTGAGCCAGCTCAACAATTAAAGAATTTCACCTCTTTAGCAAGCAAAAATGTGAATCATAACAGAAGTGTTTAGAACTGTGTTTAGCTGGGGTTTCTTCGGGGCAACAGCTCCTCTTTTACTATGCCTCACACGTACAAGGCTGCCCACGTTGATGGTGGTTGAGTGGCAGCTGCCCACATCCCTGTGTGCCTTAACGGCCCACTTGCACGTTATTACAGGAGGCAGAGTAAAAGGTAAGGTATGCTCCTGTGCATTTCTCTTCAGATCTGCATACTACTGTTCATTTCACTTTAGATCTTCAGCTTATACTTAGTCTTTGTGTTTGTCCTTCATCTTCATACTTCCATTCATTTCACTTCCGATCTTCGTATCGTCTGTTCTCTCAGCGATGCTCATTCGTATGTATTTGCTAGTAGCACAAAAGGGGAGGGTGGAGGGGAGGTGGAGGGAAAGGGATAGAAGGCGGTTCCATAGGAGTGTGGGTAGGGGGATGTGGAGGGTAAAGGGCAGGAAAGAAACATGCGAAGGACAGGATAGAGTATGACATGCAAAGGTCAGGGGAGAGGTGTACGACGAACTTCGGAGAATTCTAAACACTCACCGCTGGAACAGACTACTCTAGAACGGCACAGGGTTGCAAAAAAAATTGAAAAATATTGTTTGGTTGAGGAGCAGTTATTGCCTATGGTAAGTGGCCACCCCTACAGACCGGCCAGGACCGGTTCGGGTGTGCATCGAATGATGTCACAGGCTAAGTGGCCCCTACATGCTAGGAACACAGGCACGTCAACCGCAATTATAGAGGCATTGCCGTTCCAGCCCGTCTACAAATTGGACATGACATCTCACGGTGCCGTACATGGGTACAGTACCGACTGTCGTCCTACGTACGGAAGCAAAAACTCGCATGGACTATCCCTTCATAATCCTCACGGCACAAGGCATGCGAGCCACATGCTAGTTGAATCTCCAGCAGGTCATCACAAGGCGGCATGGAGCATCTTCCTTGGGTTTCCTAGAGTGATGACAGGGAGGATCTGTCCAAAGCAAGGGTATTCAGCTGCTGCAGGATATGGTCCACAACAGCTCGGCCTGGTGGTGATAAAGGCGTCAAGCCTTCAGGGTTGGCTTCCAGTACGGGGTTGAGGTGGGGTCAAACTGTTCCAACGATTGAGGTGGGTTGCTCCTTTGGGGCCTTCCTGTTCCGATGACCACTCTCTGGCCATTATCCAGAACAGGTCGCTCATGTTGGGAGGGCTCTTGACTGGTGCCAGGTTCCTTATACTGTCCAGGGCCATTTTGGTCCACGGCAGGGACTGTCTAGTTACGATTTTAATTATCCATTTCATCTGGATTGCTATCGTCTCCTGTTTAGGATCTATAATTCCCAGGCCTCATTCTGTTGGCTTTCTGGTGATATGGTGCCAGACTACTTTGTTGATGCAGGTAGTTCTGTTCGGATTCCCTGTCCAAAGATAGCATCTGACTTTGACTTAGAGGCTCTTTAGGTCGTCATCCGGAGGGGACCATATGGAGGCCATGTACCACAGAGTGGAGAAGATGGATGTATTTATGATTAGTGATCTCTCTCCCAATCAGAGACGCCTGAGTCCTTTTACATGGAGCCAAGCGTGATATTGCTCTCGCAATTAGGTTTTGTCATATCCCTGGCCATGTGCCATCTTTATTGACCATGATGCCCAGGTAGAGGAGTGCTTGACTACACGCCAGGCATCCCTACTTGGGATGATGACATAGTGAACTTCATGGCGACACGAAGGCTACAGGCATTGAAGCCAAGGCGACCTGTGAGGGGATTGGGGCTGTCCTCTGGTTGGGGAGGGGTGGTGTCAACTAGCTGCCACACTTCGGTTTGGCCCAGTTGACCTTAATTTCAAATGCCGGTCGGAAGGCTTCCATAACTCTGGCCAGGGCTTGAAAGGATGAGTTGCTGGCGCGGATCAGGACTGTGAGATCGTCAGCGGACGTAAGTGCAGTGGGAAGGGAGAAGTTGTGCATAGGGCTGTAGTTACATTCTGAGAGGCGGTCTATCGACAGGTCTTTTTAAAGGAAGGAAGATTTGGCCTCCATGATTAATAGGAAGATGGGAGGAGCAAGGGGGTCGCCCTGGCGGACAGATCTCGAGATCGGGTAGGTGTCGGACAGGATTCTATTGACTTGGACTCTGCCATTGGCATCACCGTATAGGATTCTGACCCATTCCCTAAACTTTGGTCCCACTCCCATTTTTTCCATACAAACATGTAGGAAGTCCCAACTGACCTGATCATAAGCTTTCTCGAAATCGAAGAAGAGGATCGTCGCTTTCATTCTTTTTCCGGTGATCCTTTTTGCTGTTTTGTTCAGGGTCATCACATTGTCGAGTATGTACCACCCTGGGATGAAACCTGCTTGCTCAATGTGGAAGCATTTGTCGGTGAGGCTGGTGATTCTATTGGCCAATGCTTTTGCCAGGATTTTGTA